ATACCTGCTAAATCGTTGTAAGCGACCCTTTGGAAAAGAGGCTAAATCCAATTGAGGAATACGATGTGGCCCCAAATTATTTTTTTCTGTGTGCACTTAACGATTTTCAAAAGGCAGTTTTTTTTTGTTTTTTTTTTTTAAGGGCGATGGCCTTGAGATATTATCATCGGACTAACCAGCCCAGGTAAATTCAATCTTGTGTCTAATCTGACATCGGGTGGCCTTATTGCCGTCAGGGAACCCCCAACGGGGGACACCGGCCAGGGGACAGCCGGTAGCAGAGGGACCGAGCATCATCTGAGTGGCTAGTCGCTGTGCCTCTGTGATTACCCCTCCCCCTACGAACATCAGCAGAGACTGCTTTTTAATGCCAATTGGGGGGACCAATTTGGACCAATGGGCTATCTCTAGGTGGCGGGCACCAAGCATGCCCAGGAAGGTACATGTGGCCAATGGGGATTGAACCCAAGACCTCCTGAATGCCACTTGCTTGCCTTACGAACTGAGCTAGGCCGCGCTGGATGACGGACGCTTTTTTTTTTTTTTTTTTTTTTTTTCGGGAAAAGGCACACATTTGGTTACCACAGCCTGGGCTTTTGAATTTTTCATTTTCTTTTAATTCGTAATTGCGCCGCATCAAGTGTGTGCGCACGTGTGCGCGTGCGCTATGCGGCGCAACTTGCGTGCATGTGATGCGCCGCTATGCGGCGAACGTTCGGGTGTTCCGGTACGGCTGTTCGGCCCCGGCCGAATGCCAGCTACCATACCATTAAACCACCACTACCTCCAAGCCTGTTTTTGCCGACCCTGATTTTCACTGCGCACCGAGTTTTGCCGAGCCTGGTGTCTGTTGTGTTTCGTTTGTGGTACTCTTCTCAAAAAGAAAAAAGAAGAAAGCACGGCCAGACTTTTTAAAAACGGGGTACTCACAACCACAAAAAATGAACACCCCTCTGGACGTGATACAAGGTAGATACCTGGCCCAAAGTTGTTGTGCGAGTATGCCCCTCAGTGAGGGCGTTACGGCCGGGGTGTCGGGTCCACGGAAAAAGAGGAGACAAAAAAAAAAAAATTAAAAAAAATCAAAACTGAACTTAGGGCGGGAAAGCGGGTTCATACATTCTGCAAAGTTGTAGTGTGGGCATGCCCTCCTTCACAAAGTGTCAGCAGCCCGTGGACTGCACCGTGCCTCCCTGGTAGGGCACGAAAACAACAAAAAGGAAACAAAACGAAAACAACAGCAACGAAAACCTGAAACTGGTCACAATCGTAGTCAGATACTTTCTTGGGAGTATTGGTGTGAGCACAACTACGTGCACGGCCTTCCCGGACTTGGTCTTTTGTTTTTCTTTTTTTGTTTTTCTTTTTGCTTTTCGAACGGGCCCACAAGGCCCAACTGCCAAGCCTCCGTAGACCCCCGAAAAGTTCTGAAAAAGTGGGAAAACAGCCAGTTCTGAGTTTTCCCATTTTCCCCAAGAGTGACAGAGGTAGTGCCATAGTGGTGGTTTAAGTAAGAAAAAGTTTGAGTTCAAACCAAGGGTCGCTGTTTGTAGTAGTACTGTGTACATCAGTGTTGCATACCCAGACAGTCGGCGCCCCTTGACTCGTCGGATGCCAGCACCTACCAGTCAGAGGTTGTCGGCACCCCGCAACTGTTTTTCTTTTTTTTTGGGTCCAGAACCCCCAATAACCCCACCAACACCCCCATACCCGCCCCCAGTACCTCCATACACCCTCTCAAAACCCCCAATCCGCCCCCCAACACCCTCATACACCCCCCAA